CGAAAGAAATAAAAGCGAAGAAGTTGAAAACAGAAAACGACGAAATTAAAAAGAATGTGAAAAACTTGGCGAATGATAAAAACCAACTTTCTTCTGAAAAGAAGAAGCTTCAAGACGAATATGACCAACTCAATAACTTGGTCTCAGCACATGAAGAGGAGACAAATAATCTGAATGGTTCGATCAAAAAGTTACAAAGAGACTTAGAAGCAAACAACACCGAGTTGACTGAATTAAGAGACAAAACAACTAAAGACAAGAAGAAAATAGCCAATTTGGAACAAAAAGTGCAAGACCTTGAAGATAGACCAGTTGGAACTTCAAATATCGATCGAACTGAAGTCATCAGAGAGACAACCAAATAGTTGATTTGGAGAAGGCAGTTGCTGCTTTGAAAGATCAGAACACACAACTTGATGCTGCTAAGAATTATATGAAGAAGCAATCAGTTGAAGACGCTTCGAAGATTGAGAATTATGAATCACAGATTAAGGCACTTGAAGCACAAAAGAAGATGGCTTTGGACAACAAAACTGATGATGAGAAGATTGCTGCGGACCAATCTGATAGAAGAAAGAAGATGGAAGACCAAGTCAAAGCACTCAATGCATAAGTCTCATCATTTAAAGTCCAAGTCAGTGCACCGGCTTCTGTTGCTCAAGAAGAAGAGAAGAACATGTTGAATGCAAGAATACTGAAATCAAAGCCCGACTTGATGAAAAAAGACAGAAGGCTGACAGTGCAGATGCTGCGAGAAAGGTTGTTGAGAGAAATAATAACAAAAAGTCCAATTCAACTTAAATGAAGCAAATAACACTAAAGAATAGTTGATAAAAAAAGACCAATGACATGACCGTTCAAGTTGATCAACTCACCAACGAGAAGAAGAAGAATGAAAAGGATTTGGAGGAAATGGACAAAATGATCAACGACTTGAATGCTGAAGTCGACATGGCACAGAAGCAACTTGACACTGCAAATGATGACAAAGATTGCAATGAAGCGATGAAACAGAAATACCAAGACGAACTGATGAGTGTTAGAAGTGAACTTGATCAAGAAAAGAAAGACCACGCCAAGACCCAACTGATTAAAGGAAAGTACAAGAAAGATATTGCTGAAATCACAGTCAGAGCTGAAACCCTTGAGAAGAACGTTTAGATGGCTGAACAAGAGAATGCTGAGATTTATGAGAGACTATAAAACCGCTTCTGAAGAATAGATGGGAACTAATACTGAACTCGACGAGAAACAAGACAAATGTGACAAACTTGAAGACAATATGTCTGAGATGAAGACTGAATTGAGGCAACATTTAAAAACAGTTGAAAAACACTTATGAGAATAAATTAACTGAATTGAATGAACAACTTGATCTTGAAAGAACCACTGCTCAACAGGCTAAAGCACAGAAGAAGAAATATGCAAACAAACTCAGAGAATCGAAACAGAAAAGAAAGAAACACAAAACGCAGCTGCTAAGACTAAGAAACAAGCCAAACAGTATGACAGAAAGGTTGATGAGGCTGAGAGATAGCTTGCAGAATTTGAACAGAAAGAATCTACTTTCAACATGATTGTTAATTATTTATTTATCATTCCAAGTCTTGTCATATTGGTAACTGTATGTGTGAATATCAAAAAACTACATTTTTAAATTGAAATACAATTGTTTAAATATGAATATTTTAAAAGAAATACAATTATTTTTTTGTTTACCAAATAATTTTTTTTGTAATCACTTTTTTTAACTTAAAAAATAATTAATTAATTATTTTTTATATTTTTAATTATTTGACACGCATTTCAAACCTTTTGTTACAAGTTCTTAATTATTTTACGTATGTTTTTGACTTTAAATAATTATTGTCAGCCCAAGCATTTTGATGGATCTTCAAGGTCGCCTTAAATACTTATCTTTTTTATGGAACTAAACTATAATAAAACGATAGTTAGTGAAAATATTAGCTATCGTTTTTAAATAGTATCATAATTTACCATTATATTTAGTAAAATTAACCATTAATATAGTACACACTTAATAGTAAGAATAGAAATTGTAAATAAATATACAGATTTTGCTATTATACATAAGGAAATATAAAAGGATTATAGGATTTATAAAAATTATTTATTATTATTTATGTGTTATTTTTGTTAAACTTTTTAATTGCAACATATAAATAAACAATATTTAGTTAAAAAATAAAAATTATTAAAAACAAATATTGAGTTTGCTTATAATCATATTGATAGTTAAATAATTATTTAGCAATTATGACAATATCTACAAGCACTTAAAACCCGATAATAATTATCGGGTCAACAACATCATTTTAGTCCAAATATTAATTCATAACTTTGTTATTTGTATCAATAAAAATGCTTTTTCGTCGCATTCCTCTTTTTATTTTTTTCATTTTATTAAAAAAAGAATCAACTTTTATTATTTTTAAATTATAATTATAATAACAGTTTTCAATTAAAATACCAGGTGATAAAATATGTTTTCAATAGTACATAATAAGATAGAGACACTCATCATAATGAATAAAAATTATATGTATTTAAAAAGTTGTTTACATGACACATGAATTAAATATTTAACACTTTTTTGTTGTTCTGGTGTTTACTTACACAACTTTATTACTGGTCAATATTAATAATTAACTATTATTTGATATAAAGTTGTTATTATCTTGATGTACATTTTACAATCTATCGCCGATACTTGTTGTTAATCCATTTTTAAATATCTTTTTTTTTATAAAATGCTTGTAACTTAGATTACATATACACATCAACTTATTTTAAACATTCATTCTAATTTACATAATGTGTGTTTTTTGTACAAAATCATTTATCATATATTGTTTGACTTGTTAAACCAAACACAATCCGTTTGTATTATAGACTCGGTATCTTAGTCTGCACGCAAAAATAACATTCAACAACTTCTTTATATCTTTGGTGTTGTCTTTCTAAAATTTTTGTGTTTGTTCTACAATTGTTTTTGTTTATTATCGATTTGATATACTGTCTAACATATTTTATTAATTATTTATCAAGACCTCTATTATTTTCAACTGTTAATGTTTTTATGTTTTTATCACACTTATCGAAATATGATATATATGTTAAACGTATAACACATTAAAGTATATAAAAGTTTTCATTATAATACCATTACTTCTAATACCTTTTTATTTCTTATTAGTATTTTAAAACTTATTTAAATAACAAATACGTTTTTCTGGTTTTTAACTATTTTATTATCTAACCTCTTTTTTTAATTTCAAAAACTTGTTTGTCTGTCTGTTTATACAATTACTTTTTAAAACAATAATTAATTCATCAAACAAAAGATAATTCATTTAAAATTTTATCTTTTCTTAAGGAACTAAACTTGAATAAAACGATAGTTAGTAAAAATTAACTATCGTTCGTATTGAAAAATCATCACATTTTATTATTAAGATTAGTAAAAATAATTATATTTATAGTATATTGCTTATTAATAAAATACTATTAAGAAGCGCAAGAATAACGTACAACTGAAATAAATAAATAAATACAAGCACTTTAAAACCCGATAAATAATTATCGGGTCAACAACAATAATTTTCGACCAAATATTAATATATTATTTAATTATAGTCACCCGCTAAAAGCAATAAAAACACGACAAATGGTCTAAAGAAACTATAATTTATTATTTTAAACTATAATTGTAAAAAACAGTGAAAATAACACAAATAACATTAAAAAAACAAAAAACAAAAAAATCACATTAAATCAATTTTTGTCAAGCTTTTTAATTGGTTTAAAAGATAAAGGCAATCAATTAATACATGACACTTTGGGGTGTTTTGTCAATCCAGTTGACTATGACAGCTTGTTTAAAAGCAATAATATTAAAAAGAGGTGTTGTAACCACAAATAAAGAATCCACCAATATCATCAACTATTAGTCTGTTTCCGAGTTCAGTATTGTGAAAAAATGTTTTTTTCTAAAACAAATTACCATCCACATTTTCCTTCTCGACTTCTTCTTGAAAAAGCAAATTTACAAAACCTTCTTTCGCTTTAAAAGAAGACATTCTACTTTTAAGCCCACCAAATATCCCCAAATCAAGAACTTGAAGAAAATGAGAAGCATACGGAGTTAAGCTAACAAAGGTTATGTTATTTTGAGCGAGCAACACAATTAATCTGATACATCTAAAGAATTGGTTGAATTGTCGAAACCCATCCCAGTTGCAGGTTTGGTTTTTTGGTATTGTCCAAATAAATGCACATGTACGGCATTATTCATTAAAATTGTTTTTCAGTTCACCTTTAAACTATTTTTGACAATGTATTATAATTTAGTAAAATTTTAGTTTATTTTGAAATACTTTCGATATAAAGAAATTAATGTCAAATTGAAACACAATCTAAAATCATAATTTCAAAAAACTATAATATGGTTTCTTTAGACCATTTGTCGGAAATTTATACCTTTTAGCGGGTGACTATAGTTATATTTATGGGATGCTCCTCCGTCGCATCCCTCCATTTTTTTTTCATAAAGTCAGTCTGGTAACGGGACTTACATTGACCACCACCACCTTAAACAAAAAAAATATTTGCCGCGAGTGTTTTTTAAAGGAAGTCCATTTTTCAGCCACTGTTTGTGAGTCCCCATGTCGCCCACTTTCCAAGTCCTCCCTTGGCGCGGATCCCCCCTGACCCCCCCCCGCAAGCGGGGAGGGGGAACCACATCCGCGTCCACACAGTACGGACTTGGAAAGTGGGTGAAACGGGTGCACAAACAGACTGTTTGAGTGCGGCCTTCAGAGCCTTCTTTTCAATGCTCCGTCTCACTTGGTTTCCACTAACTCGAGGTGAATTTTCACATTTTTTGAATTCGGGAACCAGACCTAATATTTTCCCAGTTTCCTATTTACTATAATTATAATTAAAATATTATTAAAAATAGTAAAC